GAGAGAGAGAGAGAGAGAGAGAGAAAGAAAGAGAGAGAGAGAGAAAGAAAGAGAGAGAGAGAGAAAGAGAAGAAAGAGGCAGAAAGAGAAAGAAAGAGAAAGAGAGAGAGAGAGAAAGAGAGAGAGAGAGAGAGAGAGAGAGAGAGAGAGAGAGAGAGAGAGAGAGAGAGAGAGAGAGAGAGAGAGAGAGAGAGAGAAAAGAGTGAAATATCCCCCCAGGCAACACAATGAGAGACACGGCGCTCCCTTCAACAGTCAACAAACAAGCGAAGGAACAGCCAGCTTGATTTTGATCACTCAATTCTTCAATTCGAAGCCTTTAGACGCTCCTCTTCCCTCCTTTCTTCTCCCCTCCATCTCCCACCGTCTCCCCTTCCCGCTTTCCGCATCTTTTCTTCCCCGTCTTGCTCTCCCCATTTCCCCTCGTCTCCCCTTGTCTCCCCTTCCTCGCTCTCCCCATCACGTCTCGTCTCCTCTTCCCCTCCTTCTCGTCCTCCCCATCTCTCCTTCTCCTTCTTCTTCCCATTTTCTTCCCTTCTCTCCTCCCCGTCTCTTTCCTTCTCCTCCTTCGTCTTCCCTCCTTCGTCTTCCTCCTCTTCCCCACCTTCTCCCCACTCCCCAACCCCTATTCTCCTCACCCATTATCATTATCCTTATCATTATCATTATGTCTTTCTCCCTCTTCCCCTGCTTTCCTTCCTTCCTTCTCTCTCTCTCTCTCTCTCTCTCTCTCTCTCTCTCTCTCTCTCTCTCTCTCTCTCTCTCTCTCTCTCTCTTTCCCTATTACTCTCTCCCTCTCCCTCTATTCCTCACTCTCGTTCTCCCTCTCCCTCTATTCCTCACTCTCGTTCTCCCTCTCCCTCCCCCCCATTACTGATCTCTCTCCCCCATATTGCACTCCCCCCCTCCCCTTCCCCTCCCTCCCCCCCTCCTCTCTTTCCTATTCAATCCTTCTTATTCATAGGACGTCATTACCTTTAACGACGAAGCCCGCCACCCGAATAACAGTCATCGTCACGCCGTCGCCCGTTTTTTTAGGGGGTGGGGAGGATGGGGGAAGGGGAGGATGGGGGAAGGGAGAGAGAGGGAGGGGGAAAGGGAGAGAGAGGGAGGGGGAAAGGGAGAGAGAGAGGGAGGGGGAAGGGGAGAGAGAGGGAGGGAGGGGGACGAGGAGAGACAGGGAGGGGAAGGGGAGAGAGAGAGAGGGGGAAGAGGAGAGAGAGGGGGGGAGAGGAGAGAGAGGAAGGGGGAAGGGGAGAGAGAGGGAGGGGGAAGGGGAGAGAGAGGAAGGGGGAAGGGGAGAGAGGGGGAGGGGAAGGGGGAGAGAGAGAGGGGGGGAAGAGGAGAGAGAGGGAGGGGGAAGGGGAGAGAGAGGGAGGGGGAGGGGAGAGAGAGAGGGGGGAAGAGGAGAGAGAGGGGGGGGAGAGGAAGGGGGAAGGGGAGAGAGAGGGAGGGGGAAGGGGAGAGAGAGAGGGAGGGGGAAGGGGAGAGAGAGGGAGGGGGAAGGGGAGAGAGAGGAAGGGGGAAGGGGAGAGAGAGGGAGGGGGAAGGGGAGAGAGAGGGAGGGGAAGGGGAGAGAGAGGGAGGGGGGCGGGGAGAGAGAGGGAGGGGGAGGGGAAGTGAAGAGGTAAGAGCGGAGTGAAAGGGAAGAGGAAAGGAGGGAATGAAGATAAAGGAAGGGATTGAAAAGGAAGGCGTGAAGAGTAAGGGGGAGGATATGAAGGAATGGGAGGTGAGAGGGAAAGGGAAGAGGAAAAGGAAAGGAGAAAGGAGAGGAATTGAAAGGCAATTGGAAAGCAGAAGAGAATGGGAGGAGAGTAAAAATGAGAAAGGGAGGAGAGGAGAGGAGAGGAGAAACATGACACACAAGTGAAGGGAAACCAGGAAAAAAAAGAGAAATAAGAATAAAACAAAAAGAGAAATTGAAAAGAATGAGGAGTAAAGACAGATGAGAGAGGAACAAAGAAAGAGGAGAGAAGGATGAAGAAAGAGAAAAAAGAAGAGAAAACAGAAGTATGAAATGGGAAGTAAGTACGATGTGAGAAAAGAGAGTAAAGATAGAAGAGAGAAGAATAAAGAGAGAAGAGGGAAGAGGGACAAAGGACGAAAGAAGAGGGGACAGAGAAAACAAAACAAAAACAAAACAAGAAAGAAGAGACAAGAGACAAGACAGAACCGTAAAGAGAGAAGAGAAATGAAAAAAAAAAGATACGAACAGAGAAAAGAGAAAAAACGAGAAAAGAGAAGAAAGTAAAAAGAGAGAAGAGAGGAGAGAGACGAGAGAAGGGAGAAGCATGAAGAGAGACGAGAGAAGAGAGAATAGGGAAGAGAAACAAGGGAAGAGAGAAGAGAGAAGAGAAAAGAGAGAAAATAAAAGAGAAAAGAGAGAAGAGAAAAAGAGAGACGAGAGACGAGAGAAGAGAGAATCACGAAGAGAGAAATGAGAAGGGAGAATAGGGAAGAGAAACAAGGGAAGAGAGAAGAGAGAAGCGAAAAAAAGAGAGACAAGAGAAGAGAAGAGAGAAGAGAAAAGAGAGGAGAGAGATGAGAGAGGGGGGGGGGAAGGGGAGAGAGAGGAGGGGGAGGGGAGAGAGAGAGGGGGGAAGAGGAGAGAGAGGGGGGGGAGAGGAGAGAGAGGAAGGGGGAGGGGAGAGAGAGGGAGGGGGAAGGGGAGGGAGAGAGAGGGAGGGGGAAGGGGAGAGAGAGAGGGGGGAGGGGGAGGGGAGAGAGAGGGGGGAAGAGGAGAGAGAGGGAGGGGGAGGGGAGAGAGAGAGGAGGGGGAGGGGAGAGAGAGGGAGGGGGGCGGGGAGAGAGAGGGAGGGGGAGGGGAGAGAGAGAGAGAGGGAGGGGGAAGGGGAGAGAGAGAGGAAGGGGGAAGGGGAGAGAGAGGAAGGGGGAAGGGGAGAGAGAGGAAGGGGGAAGGGGAGAGAGAGGGGGGAAGAGGAGAGAGAGAGAGAGGGAGGGGGAAGGGGAGAGAGAGGGGGGAAGAGGAAAAGGAAAGGAAAAGGAGAGGAATTGAAAGGCAATTGGAAAGAGAAGAAGAATGGGAGGAGAGTAAAATTGAGGAAAGGGAGGAGAGGAGAGGAGAGGAGAAGAAAACATAGAAACATGACACACAAGTGAAGGGAAACCAGGAAAAAAAAAGAGAGAAATAAGAATAAAACAGAAAGAGAAATTGAAAAGAATGAGGAGTAAAGACAGACGAGAGAGGAACAAAGAAAGAGGAGAGAAGGATGAAGAAAGAGAAAAAAGAAGAGAAAACAGAAGTATGAAATGGGAAGTAAGTACGATGTGAGAAAAGAGAGTAAAGATAGAAGAGAGAAGAATAAAGAGAGAAGAGGGAAGAGGGACAAAGGACGAAAGAAGAGGGGACAGAGAAAACAAACAAAAAAAAAACAAGAAAGAAGAGACAAGAGACAAGACAGAAACCGTAAAGAGAGAAGAGAAATGAAAAAAAGAGATACGAACAGAGAAAAGAGAAAAAACGAGAAAAGAGAAGAAAGTAAAAAGAGAGAAGAGAGGAGAGAGACGAGAGAAGAGAGAAGAGAAAAAGAGAGGAGAGAGACGAGAGAAGAGAGAAGAGAAAAGAGAGACGAGAGAAGAGAGAAGAGAAAAGAGAGAAAATAAAAGAGAAAAGAGAGACGAGAGAAGAGAGAAGAGAGAAGAGAGAGAAGAGAGAATCAGAAGAGAGAAATGAGAAGAGAGAATAGGGAAGAGAAACAAGGGAAGAGAGAAGAGAGAAGCGAAAAAGAGAGACAAGAGAAGAGAAGAGAGAAGAGAAAAGAGAGGAGAGAGATGAGAGGAGAGAGACGAGAGGAGAGAGAATAGGGAAGAGAAACGAGAGAAGAGAGAAGAGAGAAGAGAGAAGAGAAAAAGAGAGACGAGAGAAGAGAGAATCACGAAGAGAGAAAAGAGAAAAGAGAGAAGGGAGAATAGGGAAGAGAGACAGGAGACGAGAGACGAGAGAAGAGAGAAGAGAGAAGAGAAAAAGAGAGACGAGAGAAGAGAGAATCACGAAGAGAGAAAAGAGAAGGGAGAATAGGGAAGAGAGACAGGAGACGAGAGACGAGAGAAGAGAGAATCACGAAGAGAGAAATGAGAAGGGAGAATAGGGAAGAGAGACAGGAGACGAGAGACGAGAGAAGAGAGAATCACGAAGAGAGAAATGAGAAGGGAGAATAGGGAAGAGAGACAGGAGACGAGAGACGAGAGAAGAGAGAAGAGAAAAGAGAGACGAGAGAAGGAGAAAGAATGAATGAAAACCAATCATGAGAAAACAAGGAAGGGAAGAGACGGGCAACGAAGGTGATGGACGAGGCGGAAGGCGGGGAGAAGGGGGAAGGGGAGAGGAGGGGGGGAGGAGGGGAGATGAAGGGGGGAGGGAGATGGAAAGAGGTCACGGCGCTGAAATCTGTTTATCAACTTCCCATTTCCTTAACAGAGTGAGGGGAAGGGGGGAGGAGGGGAGGGGGGAGGGTTGAGAGAGAGACGAAACACAATAGAATAACGGTAATATTATCAAGATGGTTTGGGGAGGATGGAAGGGGGGAAGAGAGGGGGAAGGGGAAGGAGAAAGGATGGAGAGAAAGAGGAGGAGGAGGAAGAGGAGGAGAGAAGCAAGAAGAGGAGAGGAGAGAGAGGAGAGAAGAGTGAGGAGAGATGTGGAGAGAGAGAGAGAGAGAGAGAGAGAGAGAGAGAGAGAGGAGAGAGAGAGAGAGGAGCGAGAGAGAGAGAGATGAGAGAGAGAGAGAGAGACCACAAGATAAAACAGGAAGAAATGAATAATAACAAAAGCCACTGATTCCCCCCTCCCCCCTTTCTTCTTTCCATCCTCCCTCCCCTCCCCTCACCTCCCCTTCCATCCTCCCCTCCCCTCACTTCCTACCTCCTCCCATCCTCCTCCCCTCCCCTCACCTCCTACCTCCTCCCTCGCCCCCCTCCCCCACCCTCCCCTCCCCCACCATCACACGCGATAAGAAGTGAAGGAAAAATCCGCTTACCTAGAGGATCCTCCGACGCGGGACTGCCAAGCGCTGCTGATCCTGCAAGGAGAGGGAGAAGATTCCTTTGGTTAGGTTTGTCAGGAGGCCTTGGGCGAGCTGGGAAGAAGGGGGGGGGGGAGGTAGGAGGAAGAGGGGGGGGAGGTAGGAAGAAGAGGGGGGGGAGGTAGGAGGAAGAGGGGGGGGAGGTAGGAGGAAGAGGGGGGGGAGGTAGGAGGAAGAGGGGGGGGAGGTAGGAGGAAGAGGGGGGGGAGGTAGGAGGAAGAGGGGGGGGAGGTAGGAGGAAGAGGGGGGGGAGGTAGGAGGAAGAGGGGGGGGAGGTAGGAGGAAGAGGGGGGGGAGGTAGGAGGAAGAGGGGGGGGAGGTAGGAAGAAGAGGGGGGGGAGGTAGGAGGAAGAGGGGGGGGAGGTAGGAGGAAGAGGGGGGGGAGGTAGGAGGAAGAGGGGGGGGAGGTAGGAGGAAGAGGGGGGGGAGGTAGGAGGAAGAGGGGGGGGAGGTAGGAGGAAGAGGGGGGGGAGGTAGGAGGAAGAGGGGGGGGAGGTAGGAGGAAGAGGGGGGGGAGGTAGGAGGAAGAGGGGGGGGAGGTAGGAGGAAGAGGGGGGGGAGGTAGGAGGAAGAGGGGGGGGAGGTAGGAGGAAGAGGGGGGGGAGGTAGGAGGAAGAGGGGGGGGAGGTAGGAGGAAGAGGGGGGGGAGGTAGGAGGAAGAGGGGGGGGAGGTAGGAGGAAGAGGGGGGGGAGGTAGGAGGAAGAGGGGGGGGAGGTAGGAGGAAGAGGGGGGGGAGGTAGGAGGAAGAGGGGGGGGAGGTAGGAGGAAGAGGGGGGGAGGAGGAGGAGGAGGAGGAGGAGGAGGAGGAGGAGGAGGAGGAGGAGGAGGAGGAGGAGGAGGAGGAGAGGAGGAGGAGGAGGAGGAGGGGGGAGGGGGAAGGGAAAGGGGGGGCGGCGGTAAGAGGGAGGGGGTAGAAGGAAGGAATGGAAAGAGGGAGGGGAGGAAATGAAGGGAACAGAACATCATAATAATCACAACAATAATATTTTTATATTAATATCATTACCATACTTTTGTTCATTATCATTCTTATCGTTATTATTGCCATTATCATCATCATCGTCTTCCTCATCATAATTATCACCATCCTTATAACAAACAACACGATAATCAAGAAGAATAGTAAACACATATATACGAATAAATAAATACAAACTCAAACAAACAAACAAACAAACACATTGGTCTAGCGCGTCTACATAATAATCCTTAACCGAGAATAGTTCCTCGACTCGATCTTTGAGGGCGACGTCAGACAGAGCCAAGAGGTCGGTCCTTAATGAAGGCGAAGTTAGCACTGAAGTCAAATTATGATGTCAGCACTTGAAGTCAGAATATATGATGTCAGCCACTGAAGTCAAATTATGATGTCAGCCACTGAAGTCAAATTATGATGTCAGCCACTGAAGTCAAATTATGATGTCAGCCACTGAAGTCAAATTATGATGTCAGCCACTGAAGTCAAATATGATGTCAGCCACTGAAGTCAAATTGTAATGACGTCAGCACTGAAGTCAAATTGTAATGACGTCAGCACTGAAGTCAAAATGTAATGACGTCAGCACTGAAGTCGGAATATATTATGTCAACCATTAAGTGAAAATATGATCATGTCAGAACTGAAGTCAGAATGCGAGGCTGACGGTGAAGATAGAAAAACGAAAGTGGAAAAGGGAGACGAGTTTAAAAAGACTGTGAAAGACGCCGGAAATAATGATCGTCGGGTGATGAAGGGGGAGGGGGGAGGAGAAGGACGAGGAGGAGGAGGAGGAGGAGGAGGAGAAGAGGACGAAAAGGAAGAAGAGGGGGGGAGGAGGAGGAGGAGGAGGAGGATTTGAGGAGGAGGAGGAGGAGGAGGAGGAGATCGAGGACTAGGACTAGGACGAGGACGAGGACGAAGATGACGAGGATGATTACGAAATAGACAAGGAACACAAATGATGATGATGATGATGATATAGATAGATATAAATAAAGATAAAGACGAACACGAACACAAACACGAACACAAACACGAACACGACGAAGACGACGACACGCCAGAAAGGAAAGAAAGAGAAAGAAAGACAAAGAAAGAAAAAAAGAAAGAAAGAAAGAAAAAGCAAGACAGGCAAAGAAAGAAAAAAAAAGAAAAAGAAAGACAGACAAAGAAAGAAAAAAAAAGAAAAAGAAAGACAGACAAAGAAAGAAAGAAAGAAAAAGAAAGACAGACAAAGAAGAAAAAAACACAGAAAGAAAAGAAAAAAAAAGTCGAGAAAAATACAGCTGGAAAATCTATCACGGTAAACAAGCTTCCAAATCATTCATACTTAAGCCGCGAAGAAGCCTCTCTTTCACCTTCGAGCCCGATGCTGTTTGTTTGTTTAAGAGTGAGGAAGTGTATGCTCGTCGGTATGTGTGTAGAAGGGGGGAGGGGGAGGGAAAGGGAGGGAAGGAAAGGGAGGGGGGAGGGAGGGGGAGGGAAGGAAAGGGAGGGGGGAGGGAGGGGGAGGGAAGGAAAGGGAGGGGGGAGGGAGGGAGAGGGAGAGAGAATGGAAGAGAATGAAATAGAGAGAGAAAGAAAGAAAGAGAGAGAAATACTCTCCTCCTCACCCCACTCCCCCATCTTCCCTTTCCTGCAGGTCACCCCGTCTGCTCAATCCTCAAGGCCTACATAACACAGAGGCCTCCCCTTTCCCCTCACCTCCCCTCTCGTCCCCTTCCCTTAGAGGACACAGAACACTCCTCTTCTACGCCCCTCCCCCCACATTTGGTCTCTCCTCTTCTTCTCTCCTTTCCTCTTCTCTCCTTTCCTCTTCTCTCCTTTCCTCTCTCTCTCCTTTCCTCTCTCTCTCCCTTCCTCTCTCTCTCCCTTCCTCTCTCTCTCCCTTCCTCTCTCTCCCTTCCTCTCTCTCTCCCTTCCTCTCTCTCTCCCTTCCTCTCTCTCTCCCTTCCTCTCTCTCTCCCTTCCTCTCTCTCTCCCTTCCTCTCTCTCTCCCTTCCTCTCTCTCCCTTCCTCTCTCTCTCCCTTCCTCTCTCTCTCCCTCACTTCCACTTTCATTTAATCCCCTTCCTTCTCTCCCTCCCTCCCTTCTCCTCTCTCCTCCCCTCCTTTTCTCTCCTTTCTTCTCCCTCCCTCCCCTCACCTTCCTCCAATCCCTTGCCCTCACCTCCCTTACATCCTCCCTCCCTTCCGCCATCCCTCCTTTCCTTCTTTCTTCCCTCTCTCCCTCCCTACCTCCCTCCCTCCCTCCCTCCTTCCCTCCCTACCTCCTTCCCTCCCTACCTCCTTCCCTCCCTACCTCCTTCCCTCCCTTGCTCGCTCGCTCCTTCCCTCATTCCCTCCCTCCCTTCCCTCCCTCCTTCCCTCCTTCCCTCCCTCCTTCCCTCCTCTCCCATCGCCGTCTGTGTCTTCAGCGTCGAAGCTCAGCGACATCGAGGCATTTCCTTAACGTCTTGCCAGATGCCCTGACGATGCCCCCGGGCTCCTCCTGCCGCGAGGGAGGGGTGGGGAGGGAGGGAGGGAGGGAGGGAGGGAGGGAGGGAGAGAAAAGAGAGAGAGAGAGAGAAAAGAGAGAGAGAGAATAACAAAGAGAGAGAGAGAATAACAAAGAGAGAAAGTAAGAAAAAGAGAGAATAACAAAGAGAGAGAGAAAGCAAATCAGAGAAAGAGAGCAAGAAAGAGAAAGAGAACATACATACATATAGACATACAGACACAACAAAACCAAAAAACAAGGAAACTGGATCAGAGAGAGAGAATGAATTTGGCATCAAGAAAATGAAAGAAAAAAATAGAAAATGAAGAAACGAAAATAAAAACCCACAATAATATCCTTAAATATCGCGATCAGAAACGAGAAACAGGCGAACGGCAGATAAAAGAATAAACCGGAAAGGAGGGAGGGGGAGGGGGGGAGGGGCGCTAAGACACTTGACGAGGGAAGTAAGGGGAGGGGGGGGGAGGGGGAGAGATAAGAAGCGACAGCAAGGAGAGAGAAAACGGAAAAGAGAAAATGCCAGAAAACCGCGTTAGATAGTGAGAGAAAATATAGGGCAATGTAATGTCGGGGGGAATGATTGATGACTGATGGTGGTGGTGGTGGTGATAACTGATGGTGATAACTGATGGTGATAACTGATGGTGATGGTGATGATGGTGGTGGTGGTGATAACTGATGGTGATAACTGATGGTGGTGGTGATAACTGATGGTGGTGGTGATGATGATTATGACAATGAGATAGTGACGATGACGACGGCGATGATGATAACGAGGAGAAGGAAAAGGAGGAAATAAATAAATATGTAAATAAAAACATAAATGACAGTGCCGATGACAATGATGGCAATGATGACGATAATGGCGACGACTATGACAATAACAAGAACAAGAACAGTGACAGTGACTATAACGATAATAACAGTAACGACGACGATAATGATAATGAAAAGATCAAACAATTAAATGATAAAAAAAACACAAAAAACAACAACTGAATTCCTTGAATGATAAATAAAGGTAGAATAGAAAGATAACGTTACCTTCCCCCCTCCCTCCCCCCCCCCAAAAAAAAGAGCGATGGCCTCCGTAAATATATATTTTTTCTCCGTTTCTAAGTGATTTTTAATGACACACGACACCAACTGCCGCCCCTGAAGACAGCTGGGAAAGGGGGGGGGGGTGCGGTCTCCTGATTGGTCGAGACGGCGAACAGGGGGTTCATATAAATGGTAAACAATCACAATATAATCACGAGAAGCAGGAAAATTGCGTAAAGTTCTCCCTATGTAATACTTTTTTGTGCGTGTATGTTTGCGTGTGCGTGTGTATGTATGTGTGCGTGTGCGTGTGCGTGTGTACACGTATGTGTATCTGCGAGCGCGTGACACGAAAAATAAACGCCATATTTGACACAAGTGCGAAAAGGCGTTTTGGACAGAAGCCACACAGGTGTCATGAGCCACGCCGCGGGAGCCAAGCGTAATAAGATACATATCAGAGGAGGTGATGAGCC